ATGTCACTTTGGTCATTTTATCACTAACATGTGAGGTCATTAGGGGGGTCGTTATAAAAACTTCAAAAAGTTTACGTGAGACGACCCAAAGCTCACTGGTGTTAAATGAAATAAACAAAGTTCATAGGGGTTATGTGCAGAACCCCCAAGTAAGGAAGGGTGAGTGAAAATTATCCAGTAACAAATTCTCCAAAATCTTTCAAAAGATCAAGGGGAAAGTGTACGTCTTCACCTAAGATGTACGCATAGCCATTTCCATCGAAAACGGGGACAAGTGTACTAATAATACAGCCATGAGATTGGGCCCTAGCAGTCTCATTTAAGTTTAATATATTTTAATTATGAATAAATTAAGCCCCAGCTAATGAACAATGACCCTTATCGATTTATAGTGCTTTTTCCCTCTCTTGTCTGAACAGCTGAACTGGTCCATGAATCCTAAAAAGAGGAGGAAGAGTGTAATAGATTGATCCAATCTTGATCTGAAACCTCGCTTCATCCTCCACCCCCAAAAAAAGAAAAAAAAAGGGGGGGCTAAGTTATTATGTTTAAGAGGTATTTTGGACGATCACATACTTGCCATCTGACATGTTAAGCCTAATCGTGTTAGTTTTCAAGGGGTCAAGTGAAAAAAAAGTTAAAAGGGAGTTTTCACAAATTTTCAAAGTTGCGAAGATTATCTAAAATATACTCCAACTTACAGGAGTTCTCAAATTAAAATAATTGAGGGAGTTTTCTGAGACATTCTGGGGGAGATTTATCTACGATATGCTCAAATTAGAGGACGTTTTGTCTAACTAAAATAGTTGAAGGGGTTTTTATGAGATATCCCCACAGTTGAGGCGTTTTTCCCAATATTAACCCATATCCTTATTTTGGTATAAGACCAGTCACATGCCTTTTTGGTTTCAAACCCAATAAAAAGCCTTGTGGTTGTGGGTTCAATTTTCATGGCGTGCATCAGTGCATGTTAATGAGCACAAGGTTGACTGGGATAAGATTAATCTACCGTGCAACGTATACTTATGTTCCGTCTTCTTATTCCCCCTATTTTGTATAGCGTGAACCTTTCGACCACAGGCCGGGTTCCGGTTGACCCGGGCTCTTCCGGGCCGGGTTGGCTCTCTGGTTTCAGGCTTGGGAGCTGTCCGAACTTGGCCTGCCTGCTTGGCTCTGGGCGAGGCTTAAGCATGCTCGGACGATGTTTTTTTTTGTAAGAAAAGATAAATGTAATAACTTCATTTAAGAAGGGACCAGGCCTAAATTTTGGCCTAGTTTGTTTGTTTAACTGGGCCAGACCCATTCTTTTTAGAGCTCGGAATCAGTGTAGGCCCATATTTAGCCCAGACTGAATCTGGGCTCCGATATTAAGCCCTCTGCCGAGCTTGATCCGTGAGCAATCTGGGCAGGCTTTCCGGCCAACCT